TTTTTGAGGTGTTTGAAGAAGGTTGCCACCTGTTTAAGAAGTAAACTCAAAATATTTAATAAGTTAAATGAATTATTTTAAGTTGCCTGGGTATCAGTCGAAGTGAAAGGCCCTATTTCCGAAATATATATATATAAGGGTTGGCACGCGTTTCGAAAAATCAACTTGAATTGCGGCAGTTAGGTAATTGAAATATATGTCAAGTTTGAAAATAATTTGAAAGGGGTTGCCAACTGTTTGAAAATTCAAATTAAATTAAATTATAAACAAGTTAAATGGCATATTTGAATATGGGTGTCAAGCGAAAGAGTGGTAAGGAATCTTTAATTTGAACATAGGGAATACTTTCGAGCTATTTGAGGAGGGTTGCCACCGGTTTAAAAAGTTAAATTCACATGTGCGCTTCGTCGCTGTGAAATTGTCCGGGTTATTTTTCGTCAAACGTGCTTAGAACTTTTCCCTACATATTGTGCTTTGGGTGTCTGTTAACAGATTTCCATTTACTTTGTCGTACGCGGGGAACAGATTTAGTGTAATCCTTAAGGTAGTTTCTTCACAAAATAGGCGAAATTCGCTCTTGTCTTCACAGGATTGCTAATAATTTGGATTCAAATTGAATCAATGTTTTGTTATAAAAATTAAAAAACGAAAATTGAACAAAAGTATTTCCCTCACTTAGCCTTTAAATTAAAGAAAAATGATTACTATCCTTTATTTTTTTACAAGTATCAGAGCTGTTGGGTCAAAATTGATATCAGTTTTAGTTCAGAGGATGAAACTAACAACAACCTTGAACAAAATGCGGGATGTAGAAAAAGGAATAAAAAAAATATATTTAAATCAAGTGTTAAAAGTGTAAGGTGAAGCTTTACAGTGATTCTTCTTCAGGGTTGAGGGATACAGTTTGTTGTACTTAGTAAAAGGAACCACTCGTGAAGGAGCAAAATATGAGAACTACACCGCATCAACGGAAGTAAACAAAGTGTGAGCACTCCAGGCGGATTATAAATGCTCGAAGTTAGCTGCTATTTTGTAGCAAGCGCTGGTTACACTCGCACAAACTGAGGGAGCGAACTGCTTGATTCACCATTTTGCTTTCCGCACTTTACTCAGCAAAAAAAAAAAAAAAAAACAAACACAAAATGCAAAACAAAATGTTTTAAGCATACTTAAATAGAATAAGGAAAGAAACTAAATAATTCTATCCAACTCAAGTGCAACATAGAAAGTGCTGTAGTTATATTCGCGTGAGAGCTGAAAGCCAGTAAGTTGGCACTATGCGGATGTTAATTCCGAAACTAAGCAGCCCCCATTGTGAAAGTGCAGCGGCAAGTTGGAGATGAAGAAGAGAAAAGTAAAACTTTACAAGTGCGAGCGAAAATAAGGGCAACAAATACTGACTTTGCGGTTGCTTAGGAAAAAAAAAGTTGCGTACAATTTGTAACTAACGCTTTACTAGTTCCTGCTTGGCTTGGTTTGTGTGTCGGCATTTCATTATTCATTTTTTTTTTTGTACTCACTCGCTGCGACGAACCCTTGCTGGTACTTTACGTTATCCTAAATTTATATTAAAGTACGAGTACTTGGTGTGGTAGCAGTAATTAATGAGTGGCACGGCACGATGATACGAGGGTGGCACACTCTCCTAACGGAGCTGATACCTGCCGCTGCGGCGGCATTACTTGTTACACTTCAGCGCATTTGCAGAGGCAACACTGTAAGCAAGGGTGAAAAGTTGTAAATTATTTTAGATGAGAGCATAAAAAGTCAAATTTCAACGAAATAAGTTTTAGTGCAGAAAGGGAAAAAATGTCGTTTGAAACGGAAAACAAGAATTTTAAGTGTACATAAAGTTTGAAAAGCGCTGTGTTTTGGCTTTTTACTCTACTTGCACCGTTTCTAGTTCAGTTTTTTTGTTCGCCTACTCCAAAAAATGAAGCGATGTCTTTTTTTGACTCTTCGTTTCTTACTCTTTACCGCAATCACACTTATTCTCTTCATTCCTTTTTTGTAACAATCAATATTCAATAATCATTCCAATTTCTGTTCAATTTTAAATTTACCCGCCTAACTTGCTACTTAAGTGCTCTCCGGTTCAGCGCCACTGGCAAAAGGGTAACTTACTTACCAATTCATTCCGCCTATTCACCATGTGGGTGTTATGCATCATTGGTTCATTTGCCGAATTGAAATTTTTATTTAATGCCGTTCGATTTTGTGTTAAGGGTGTTCTTACGAATGTTGCTAGTAGGTACGTTTTTGTTTCGCTTATTTTGGGTAGTTAATTGATTGCTCCTTGTTTGAGTCGTTGCGGCGTCACATTAATTGCTGCTGCCGCTGTGTTTGCTTTTTTTTTTTGTTGCTTTTCTTATTGCATGTTTATTGATTGCTTGATTGATTGACTAATTTAATTTTATTGTCGAGTAGCAAGTTAAATAAGCGAAACGGTCGATGGGAAAAGTAGGGTGGCGGCAGCTTTATTGAAAATAAGTAAATATGTTAGGGCTGCCATAATCTGGAACCCATCGACCAGCACACTTATCGTCCAAATCCAAAGCAAAGATACAAGTGAATATTTTGAAGTAATTTCTGATATTATAAACAATGTAGTTTATTGGTACAATCCGTAGAGCTGAATGTTTGATGATGATGAAACGCTCAAGTTCTGAAATTTTTTTAAACCATAAAAGAATAAATTTCTCTCTTGGCGGGGACGTAACTTGTTAAAATGTTTGACGCCTTTAACGTGATCTTGAATGCTTGTCTTACCACCATTAGCGAATTTCCGCATATTCTACAATGCGCCTTATGATAATTTTTGCCATTTTTAATATGCATAACCTAAAGATAATTTAGGTAGGCTGTCTGAAATGAAGCCATTTTAAAAGACTTACCCAATAAGAACTGAAAAAAGGATTTCCTATTTGCGAATTTACTCTGAGCCAAGAGTACAATAGTTTTTTCAACGTTGTTATTTTTTTATTTTCCATGGTAAATAATCCGATTGTAAGAAATGTGACTCAAGTTGAGCATTTGAAAACACATTTGTATGTCTGGCTGTAGCTAAACGTGCAGAGATGCTTGCTGTTATTTATTGGTTTACTGCAAGTTTCGTTAAGATATCTTAATTTTTACTCGAGTTATCGTGTGCACACACGGACGGACAGACGGACGAACGGACGGACGGACGGACGGACGGACGGACGGACAGTCACCGCTTAATCGATTTCTCTTTTCATCCTGATCATTTATGTATACATTTGTCTATATCTATCTCGATTCGTTTTGCCCGTTACAAACAACCGTTATGTGAACAAAGTTATAATACCCTTGTGCACAAGTGCGCTCGGGTATAAAAATCAAAGACCTTAGAGCCGACGATGTACGGTATGGGGTGTTCAAAGACGGCAGCGAAGAGCTGATCGGACGCATGCATCGGCTTTGGCTTGACGATAATATGCTCGATGAATTGAAGCCACTTTTGACAAGATTTTCATAGTACGTTAAATCCACAAAAAACCCTCGATTAGTAAATCGATACATAACAAAATTTACTTAGTATAATATCTATTACATTGTTAAATGAAAGTATTCTATGTATAAGTATAAATTAAATGGATATCACTGCGCATCTAAAAATATTAACAGGATAATTCAGGCTAAAATATTAAAACGTCTTTCGTAAAACAAATGAAACATAGATAGTTCGAAAGACTTTTGTGATTCTAGTGCAAAAGTCTTAGAAAAAAGATGTCTCATTCACCATTCGTGATGAAAAGCCATTTTAAGAGAAAGCACTTGTATATCATTCAGATCGCGTCGCTCTAACAATCCCAATGGCCGAGTGAGCAAAGCTCTGGTGTGCCTTTCGAGAGATCCAGGTTCGAAATATCGGGCAGCGAATATTTTTAGTATGTTTTTTTCTGTATTTAAATTGTTTTTTAATTGTTATCTTTTAATTTAATTTATATATCTTATGTAATTTTTCTATTTGTTTTAAGATTTTATTGTTTTAAACAGAAAAATATTTTCTTTAGTCTTGTTAAAATTTTAAAAACGCATTTTTTGAATTTAATCAAATATTTTTTATTTCGTCAATTTAATTTTCTTTTGGTTTTAGATTTTATTTTTTTAAAAAGAACAATATTTTTCTTTCATATAATTTTAATTAATTAATTAATTTAATTAATTTCATTTCTTTATTTCACTTTTTTCTCTTTTTAATTTAATGTTCTATTATTTTTGGATTTTGCTTTAAAAATATTTTTTTTTAATTCGTTTAGTTTTTAAGTTCTATTTTCTTTTTGATTGATTTAATTTTTTCTTATTTAATTTTCATTTAGTTTGTATTTTTTATAGCTTTTATAGCTTCATTTACGTTTTAAAAATATTTTGATTTGCTCTTGCTTTATTTTCGTTTTGTTATTATTATTATTTTTAAATTTTGTATTTCGACAGCCTGTGCTGCGTTGAAAGACGGTTGCTAGAATTGTGCTGCAAGTTTTCAAAAACTTCGTATGGGGTCATATCCTGCAATGGGTGGTCCATTATTTATTCCTTTTATATAATAAATATTTTTTGCCAGAAATGTCTACTGGGTATATGTAAATTAAGTTCTGGTCGAACGTACACGCACTTATATACCTGCATTTTATTTCCCTATACTCACGCCCGGTTAGTAAACCTTTAGTATACCCTTAATCACACCTGAAAGTACCGAAGTGGCAGAGGTAAAAGTTTGTAATGAAGTGGGTAAGCATAAATAATTTAATATGCAGGAAATTGTTACGATTACAAAAGTTAACTGCTGCAGCTAGGCACTAAAGTTACAAGGTGTACGCACGACACATGAGAAAGACGGAGGAAATATGCATAGCGGAAACTCATATGCGCGGAATTTATGAGCGCGCAAACTTTTGCCTGAGCGAACGACGTAACGGTGCATGCGAAGTGAGCAAGTTGAAACTTACGCTTCCTTTAATTACATAAAATCACAAATCTTTATTACATTTTTAATAAAAAGCACTTATAAATTCACAAATTAAAATATTTCTTACTTATTTAGTACACATTCACTTAACACTAATGAGCGAATAGCGGCGGTCGGTCACTCCTGCCACGCGCACCTCTTTGCTTTGGTTTAAAACTGCACAGCACACATCAAAGTACATACTTATTTCTTACTTCCACCTCAAAGAGTTCTGTCAAATTCACTGCAATCGAATGTCCTCCTGAAATGTTATGTGCTCGCCGCGTTGCAGCGCATAGTTGGCTGCGTCGAGTTCGCTGCCCAGCATCTCACATAGCGCCGCTATGTAGGTCTGCGCCATTTGCAGCGTCTCATATTTGGACAGCTTCTGGTCAATGGTTGGAGCAGGCACCACCTCACGCAGCCGATCGAAGGCCTCATTTAGGCCATTCATACGCTTGCGCTCGCGGGCATTGGCAGCTTGGCGTCGGCGCTTAAGCACGCTAGGGCTGGGTGGCTTTGTGGTGGCGTCTGCTCTCTTCGAGCTTGAGTCCTTGCGCAGATGGGTTGCTGCACGTTTGTTACATTTGCCAGATTTTGCGGATATAGGTGAACCAGATTTGCTCGGCGTCGTGCTTGTGGAGCACTCTCCGGCGGAGGCGGCAATACTGGCATTGAGTTGATGATGCAGCGACTGCTGTGGCGGGTTGAAGTTGTAGTTGGGAAAGAATTGATTCGCCTGTGTTATTGGTTGCAACGAACGATTTCCCGTGTAGCTTAATGCGGTGGCGGGCCAATCGTGCAGCAACAGGTGGTTTTCTTTGTGACTACCCACGTCCGCGTGGCTCTCGGTGCCAGTGCTGATGATGGAGAGCGTATAGCTGGGACTGCTTGCGTATTGCTGCGAACCATCTTCCTCGGAGGAGGCATACGAGAAATCACTGAAGCGCGTTGGGAATGAATTAACGGAGTGCTGCTGGATTCGCTGCTCCAAATACTTTTGTTGTAGCTGCACAGCTTCGATGTTTAAGTTCATATTCTTCGAAAAGATCCTCACTTTACTGCGTGCTAACAAGAACTGTTTGCTCGTTGCAGCTACTGGCGAGTTTGAAGCGCTTAAACGCCAGAATGCTAAGAATATGCCAGAAGGGCCAACTGTTCTACATTTCAACTGCTCCGGTGCTGAAGCGTCTTCTGCTGCTGTTGCTGCCATTTGGCCAACGAAGTCCCCATTGATGGTCTGCCAGTCGAATTTTGACCAACTGGCACGCGAGTGACACGAGCTACGAACGCGCGCGGCAGACATCCCTCATTGCGGTGGCGTTGACCATATGGTCGTAGCAAGGGAAGATTTCAAAGCAAAAACATCAGCCGCACTGTGGAAAAACAAAGCGGGGTAGAGAAATGAAAACAGAAAAAAAAAATTATAGTCGGAATGTAAAACAGTTAATTTAAGGATCATCATTATTAACATATCAGTAGCGGCAGGATCAGTGCCGCACTTTGCCGCATGTTGTTGTTGCATTCTTCCCCTTTCCCAACGCGTTACTCAGGGGTTGTCATGCACACATACACACTAACCCATATACTTAAACGCTCACTTCAACTTCATCAACTAACCTGCGCTGCGCTGTCGTGCTGCCTGCCTACACTGCTTCTCCTTCCCTAAATTGCCGCTATCATGGAGTGCGATCGTATAATTTGTGACTTTCACGGTTTATAGCACACGCAAGTCACTGCTGCGCTGCACCGCAGCCAACGAAAACATTGAGGCACTGAAAAGTTAGTTTCAAAACAACAAAAAGTGATGTAAAAACAAGAAACAAGAATAAATGCTATTTTATGTCAGCGTTGGCTCTTCAGCCATATGTTATACTCAACGCGGCATATGCGTTACTTCAAGGCTCTCCTCGGGCACGCGCTGAAATTGCCGTTATCCTTACTGCATGCACACTTTGTTGACGCTGCTTCTAGGTAGGTACTGTGGTTAATGCATTTTTTGGCACCCTCTGGCAGCGTTGACCGTCGAGTCGTTTTATTTTGTGCTACATACTCTTAGTAAAGGCACGCTCAACTTGCACTCTCGTTGCATACTCCGCAGTGTTAACTCTGTTTTGTTGTTGTTTTAGTGTTAGTCCTTTTGGTTACTGGCGCTGCTGTTGTTTTTTTTTTTTATCTCTTGTGGCTTGTTTTTAAATTTTTTTTGCGCAGACTTTTATTCTCCTTTAACTGCTTCGTTTTAGTCTTCGCTGCGAGGAGTCAGAAAGTTATAATAAAACTCTGTGCGATGTACGGATATGACCTGTGAACTTGACAGTGAAAGTTTTGAATTTTCACTTAAGCATTAAGTTATACCCTTATAGGTATATTCTGTTAAGGCATTTTTAAGATTTGGTATTGGGTACCTATTATATACTTGCGGTGACCATATTTTCGAAATAGCAATAGAGTACAAGTTTCCATTATGTATGTTACGAGCTTTATCGGAGCCATAATATTACAAAAAAGTAAGTGCGCCTGGGCCACACTGGAGAAGTGAAACTTACGATACATATCCATTTAGTCTCATAACCAATATACATACATACATACATATGTACATCTGCTTTTGCTTTAGGTTATATTTTTGTATTTTTTCTATCTACATAGATCCCTACTTCTACTCATGTTCGTTCCAATTACATTCATGTTATTCTGTTTTCTTTATCTTCATTTTTATCTTTATACTCTATCGATAACAAAATCTATTGTAACATATAACAAAATATCGATACCAAAACCGATAAAAGTATCGATAACAAAATCGATAGCAAAAACGATAAAAATTTCGATAGAAAAATCGATAATAATATTGGTAGCAGAATTGATTGGAAAACCGATAACAAAACCGATAAAAATATTGATAACAAAATGGATAAATAATCGAGAACAAAAATCAATAAGAAAATCGATAAAAAATATCGATAACAAAATCGATTACAGAATCGATAAATAATGGATAACAAAGTCGAATAATATCGATAACAAAATCGATAAATATCGATTAAAAAATCGATAAAAAATCGATAACAAAATCTATAAAAATATCGATAGCAAAATTCGATAAAAATATCGATAACAAAATCTATAATAATATCGATAAAGAAACCAATGCCAATATCGATAAAACATATCGATAGAAAAATCGGTAAAAATATCGATTATTATATCGATAAGTTAAGAAGATATCCATAGCGAAATCAATAAAAATTTCTATAACAAAATCGATAAAAATATCGATAACAAAACCGAAAAAAATATCGATTATTATAGCGATAAGTCATGCGAATCTCGAAAATCTCTAGAATTCCAAAAAAATTCCCAGATTGATATGTAATTACTTTTATTTTAATCTATCTTCATCTATAATTTTTTCGGTATCCTCATCCTCATCTTTTTCTTTATATTTATCTTTCATTTTACTTTTATGTTTATCATTTTCTTCATCTACATATCACCTTCACCTTTGCCCTTATATAACTAAAGTGTTTAAATGTACCTTCATCTTCATTTTTGCCTTTATCTTTAAGCATCTTTGTTTTTGTTTCTATTCTTTGCCTTTATCCTTTTCTTTATCTATGTACGTACTCACCTTTACTTTCATTCTTGTATAGGTATTTTTCCAAGTGTTATTCTTTAACCTAGCAAGTTTTTGTTAGATTAGTACCATGTGCATACACTCAAGAAGCACTTGTTTCAGCCCCAACCATTTCCGGTGCACCACTTCCGTTGCATCATTTCCGTCGCACCGTTTCCGTGTGCAATTTCCGTGAATTTGCCAATTTACTCCCAACCAACCAACCGCCGCTAAAGATGTGGTTTGTACCCACATATAGCCCATCAGCTTTATACAGCTAACGTAAGGCCTATTCGTTTCTTCGTTGATGACGGTGATGGTGACGGAAGAAGGGCAAGAACACGTCCAACAGCAAAATGGAAAGGGTGCTTACCACTAGGGCCTTTCCCTTCATTCCCAGCAAAGCTCCTACAGTTGTGACAAACTTCAGTCTAGCTTAAATGGTAATATGTAAAAATCTTGCCTGCTTGCTGTGATCATAAGTTTTCGACCAGGAACTCCGTGGGTACAGTGCAAAGAGCGCTCTGTTTAAGCTTAATAGTAAAGTCCGCTGGAATAACTATACGTTCGCTTTCGCCTCGTTCTGCCAGCAGCAGCGCTTTCTACAATGAACGCATAGCAGATAATACTTTGGACACTAAATTAACATAGTAAAGATAAATAAATAAATACTGCGTATACAAAATTGCGTTGCTCTTATCCTCTTTTTTCTCTTGTCCATAATTCATACTTTTATTAAAAATTAAAAATTGTCTCCTTCAAAAACCGCTTCATATACCTACATCAGTAAGCATGTGTCTGTGCTCCCAAACGCGCAAAAATTTGGTACCAAACTGAAAAGTCTCACTTATTGCTCCAAAATCATATCAAGGGATGTATTCTTTTATTCCTCACTTTGTAAGATCTCCCTTGAAGTGCTATATAGTGGGTGCATATGGATGGTAGTTATTTTACGTGCATACGGATTATTTCACAACAAAAACGGAATATTGCACAGTTCCACAAAAGCTAACAACAATTGCAGTATGTTTCGGTACCCATCTGCATGTGTCGTAGGCAAATTTCCCCAACAAATGTTGTACATATGTATGTAAAAGTGTTTGTCTAACTATTCAAACATAAATATGTATAAAATAAAAGTGTTAAGTCTTCTTAGAACTTGTATGTAGCTTCCTAGTAGGGATGTCAATTTTGGGGGTTTGTCGATCTCGGGATTTTCGGGATCTGAAAATACAATCCCGGGATCCCGGGATCTGTGATCATCCTATTATAGTATTTTAAATCAGATTGATATAACAAAAAAAAAGTACAATTTATTGTTATTCATTTACATATTTATTAAGGCGATAAATCAGTATTTTCAATCAACAAAAAACAAACATAAAATTTGATAAACATATATGTATGTATGTACATATCCTCATTAATTTATAACATAGTTTTTGTACTACAAGTACAAATGCATATACGGTCACTCCGAGAAATATCTTGCATAGATTTTTTTGCAATATTCAAAATATTTTTCATGGTATTTTTTTTGTTAATTTAAAAAAATATATACGTATGTGCAATTTTGAAGTTGCTAAAACATCCCGTTGACATTTTATATATTTTTTTTTGCTACAAAAAAATTCGTTATAAGGAAGAAAATGCCCAACATCGTCAGTAAAAAAAATTCAAAAATCAAGGGAGTTTTTAGCAACTTTAAAATTGCACTTTATTGTATTAAATTGAATGGGCTATAAAACTGCATAATAGATTTTTTTTTTTAAATTATGATTAAAAAGTTTGATATTTTTATGATAATTTGGTGAACTTAAACCAACTTTCTCTAAAGTGTGAAATTGTGATTCACATGATTTTTGTTGTAAAATGAGCTATATATTTTTTTAAACTAACAAACAAATACCATGAAAAATTTTTTGAATATTGCAAAAAAAATCGATGCAAAATATTTTTGTAAGTGACTGTATTTGGTACAGCAGTAACTGCCTATGTAACTACATAAAATTTTTTAAATCACTGTTTGAGATCAATTTAAGATATTATCAGTATATTTAAGTAATAATAAAAAAGTTAACACATTTAACTAAAAAATAAATATATAAGTGCATCACCTATTCCATTTTGAGCGAAGCAAAATTATTCCTTCTTTTGATGGAAATGCGATCTTAAGGAAATTATAGCATTAAGGGTTGCAAAAAATTCTTGTTTTGCCCTTGAGAGGGGATATTTGTGATAAAAATTTAATTGGCTAACAAAAAAATTGTTTCCAGCAATCCCGGGATTTAAATCGACTAATCCCAGGATATTCGGGACATAAAAAAGACCGGGATACCGGGTTCCCGAAATCCCGGGATCCCGGGATTGACATCCCTACCTCCTAGTGTTGGTGGACTGCATAGTAAAGCTTGTTGCAATGTGAGCATTCAGTCGGATCAAATTGAATTAACTGTACCTATGTGCTTACCCAGCAAGCACATTTGCCAGACAATTTCTGATATCAGACAAGTCGGAATAAAAAGTTGATTATTTAGACATGTCTTACAGGTTTTTTATTTTACTTTATTTATTTCCTTATCCGATATGTCTGATCGAATTATGTCCGATTTCGGGCATACACGTCTGATAACTCTTATTTTCCATGATTATTTGGTCAGCCATCTGTAAGATATCCGTCAGAACCGTCGGTCAGAAATTCCCACGTCGTGTCAGTTAGACTTCCTGTCAACCTCTCCATACGCT